GTAACTTCAGTTACCATTCTTGGTTCACAGATATGAAAACACAAAAGTGGTGAGCCAAATGTTGAACCCTGGCAATCCAGGTTCTGAGTTCACACTCTCATTACATTTCTAATGAAAATACCTTTTATGAAATCAACTCAACTGGGATAAAACCAGGAAATAAGCACACTTAAGTAAGGAGTAAATAAGGAATGATACTGTGATGCAGTTTCTAAGAGTAGTCCTATCAACAGAAAAAGAAACAGGGCTAAATGGATAACTTTGTGGTATGTTCCACTTAGCAGGTGGAAACTAAAGACCTTGCTCATATTCATGGAATGCCAATCATTTAGAAGAAATTGTGCTTTAGTTCAAGAGATCCTATGAAGTATTTATTTACAGTTCTCGGTAAAACTGACAAACTGATTGGGTTCTGAATTACACTTATATGTAAAATAAAAGTATGGTTAAGGGAAAATAGAAAACATTTTTAATTTGGAGATTTAATACATTTTGCTGGTATAGAGGGCAAAAGAGCAATAATTCAGCATCAGGCTTTTCAAGCTAGTGGTCAAAGTCCACAAAAGGAGTTGGACCCAAAGTAAAAAGGGAAACAAAGTAGTTACGTAGGTATATGTGTGTTTGTACACAAAAGGTAAGGCCAGGAAAAATGGGAGTAAATAATGGTGAAGCAATTAGTTGGTAAGAAAAAGGGAAAAAAAAAAGGAGAAAAAAGCTCTATTTGAGTAAGTGTAGTATAAAAAAAAAAAAGGAACAAATGAGAGAGCAAGTAGATTTGTTAAAGGTTCCACAGGGGAGATAAAGGGGGGGAGGGGGAGGGGGAGAGGGAGGAGGAGGAGGAGAGGGAGAGGAAGAGGAAGAGGAAGAGGAAGAGGAAGAAGAAGAGGAGGAGGAAGTGGAAGAGGAGGAGGAAGAGGAAGAAGAAGAAGAAAAAGAAGAAGAAGAAGAAAGGGAGGGAGGGATGGAGGGGGAGGAGGAGGTGGAGAAGGAGGAGGAAGGAGAGGAGGAGGAAGAGGAGGAGGAAGAGGAGGAGGAGGAGGAGGAAGAGGAGGAGGAGGAGGAGGAGGAGGAGGAAGAAACAAGAACAAGCTAGTTACCATCACCTTTGCCCTAAATTGATCTTGCTGATAATCTTTTGCTCTTGTCTAAAGCATCCTTTTTCATGTGGTAGCCAATGACCTTTCTGGGAACAAATCTGATAATGTTAACTCCAGTTTCATCTTGTACCACTCTCCTTGCCAGTACCACACTATCCTTTTAGTTCCCTAAACATGTCATGCTTTCTCTATTTTATTTCCTCAGCTTGGAAATCCTTCCCACCTTTCCTTCTCCTACTCATCCTTCAAAATGCCCTAATTAAATCAAATTCTTGTTATTATGAATAATTTATTTTGTTGTACCTGACAGCTGTAACTTTACAAGTGTGTTTATGTGACCATCAACTCTCCTCACTCAACTGGAAACTCCATGGAGAAACCACTTCTTTTTCCCCTTCAACACTGTGCCTCTCTCAGCATAGTACCTACAACACTGCAGTTGTCCAATAAATACCTGGTGAATGAATGAAGGAAAAGAGAATCCTGCCATGCTATTATCACAAGTAGAAAAGGGTATAAAACAACCTTAAGTTAATAGAAGAGAAAGAAACAGAGAGAAAAAAAGAGTTCAATACAAGTTGGGTCCTAATTAAATCTTAGTAATTTCAGTGTGATACTATACTAAAAAATTAAGTACAATAGTAGCCAGTAGGTCTCCTTTTTTCTAATGAAGTCAGAAAAGGAAATAGAGTTAACATTTTACTTCATTATAAGGAAATAAAACAGGCTTGTTAGTCTAGGGGTATGATTCTCGCTTTGGAAATAAAACATAATTTAGAACATGATTGACAAATAAGCATCTCAAACTTAATTCAACCAAAGCAGAACTATTAACTTCTCATTCCTCTACTACCAGTCTCCTCCATTTCAGTAAATGGAATTAACTCTCAAAACCTCCAACCAAAACCCTGGGGGTCATCTATGATCCCTCCCATTCTCTGATCCTCAATATACAATTTACCAAGAAGCCCTGTAAGCTTCTACATCCAAACATATCTTCAATCTACCCACTCTTCCCCAATCTCCAATGCTACCATTCTAATCCAAGATCCTCTTTTGGTTTTACTGAAGTAGAATTAATATACAATGTTATATTAGTTTCAGGTGTGCAACATATTGATTTAACAATTCTGTACATTACTCAATGCTCACCACTACAAATGTAGTCACCATCTGTTACCATAAAACATTATTACAGTAATACTGGCTATATTCCCTATGCTCTACTTTTCACTTCTGTGGGTTATTTTATAATCTAAGTTTGTACCTCTTAACACCCTTTATCTATTCTAACCCCTCTATTTTAGACTACTCCAATATTCTAACTCATGTCCCTGCTTTTACTATTCCTCTACTCTAATTCATTCTACCCAAAGTGATTTTTTAAAAAGATAAATCATATCATAACACTCCTTAGCCCCAAACTCTTCAATGACTTCCCACTTCTTACAATAAAATAAAAATTCATCTTGAATATTAGATCTGCTGCCTCCCTTTCTTATCATTCTCTCCTTTGCTTGCTACATTTCAGCCATAATGACCTCCTTTTTGTTTCAAAAATGGAACCATACAGCATCTCAAAACTTCACAGGCATCATCCTCTCTGCCATACTCTGAAGTGTCCTATAGTTAACATGTTACCTTAATTCAGGTGTCACCTCCTCGGGAGGGAGTTTACTGATTTTAATATTATGTAAAATAGCTTTTCCACTCCTTTATTGCTCTGTATATTCCTGTCTTTATCACACTGCTACCACCTTGTTTATTTCATTAACAACAAATTGTTCCAAGAGTAAGAAATACAATGGTGAAAAAACAAAGTCACTATTTTCACGGAGCTTATATTTTAGTAAGATTGAAAAACAAATTTACAAAGTGATAAGTGTTATGAAAAATAAAACAGAATAAGGGAATACCATGGGTTTGTATGTGTGGCAGCGGGACATTTTATGTAGGTCGTCAGGTCTGAGTAGACATGAACAAAGTGAAAAAGGGAACTTTATGAAAACATGGAGTAAAATTATTCTAGGGGCTTCTGGGTGGCTCAGTCGGTTAAGTGTCCAATTTCAGGTCAGGTCATGATCTTATGGTTGTGGGTTCAAGCCCTGAGTCAAGCTCTGTGCTGACTGTTCAGAGCCTGGAGCCTGCTTCGGATTCTGTCTCTCTCTCTGACCCTCCCCTGCTCGCACTCTGCCTCTCTCTCCCGCTCAAAAATAAACAAACATTAAATTTTTTTTTAATTATTCTAAATGGATTTTTACTTATTTATTAATGCAGTACAATATATGAAAACCAGATATGAGAAACTGAAATCCTTGCTTTCCCTTATGCTCCTATTCTAAACAAGTTACCATTTGCTTTCCTTATGAGAATGTTGAAGACAAGGTGAAACTCAAAATTATTATAACTGTACATTCCTAGACCCTTAAGTTAGAGCCAACTAAGAGCGATAGCTTGAAATTCACAATCAGCCCAATATTTGTTGGCTGTATTTATGCTCTTTCCATCCTTCCTATGTTCATCTAGTTAGAACTTAAACTGAACCAGAAGCCTATAGAAGTCCAAAAGTTACCTAAGTACAAAAATATAATCAATCATCTGCATACTGAATGTTCTAAGTAAGCATCAGTAACAGTAAGACATCTTTGGAGGTTCCAATAGCAAAACAAAAAAATAACAGCACACAACACCACCTGTATGTAACACAAGCTGCACCACTCTCGGCCTCTAATAGATATCTATTCTGCCCAAACAAGAATGGAGGTAAAACAGAGGTAATATGAAATGAACCCAGAAAGAAGCTTTCCACATCTTCCCACTAGGAATCCCATACAAAACTCCCATCACTTTTAAATAAAGGCTGGCTTGCATAGCCATGTAAGTGTTTCTTTTGTTTTTGTTTTTTTTGCTTTGCTATACTCAAGGAAGAATTAAGAAAATTAACATCTCTTTCCCTATCCATCTCTATTAGGCCCTATTTGTTCAGAGTAATATTGAGGACCTACTGTAGTCCAGGCACTGTTCCAGGTGCTGTTAATAAAACCATAAACAAGGCAATACCTATCCCTCTACACCCTCTTACAGAATACCTACACCACAGTTAAGATATATTTTAATTGAGAAATGTTTCTGATCAATTATTTTTTTAAAGATTGCTTATCTTGTATATGAAAATCAACTTTGTGAAAGTATCCAGCTAATCCTTTTTAACAATCACTGCACAGTAAGCTCATTTTTCTAAACATGTTTATATTATAAACAATTTATATTTAATTTGGGATAAACACTGAACCCATACTCAAATTGAGCAATGCAAACACTCAAGTTCCTGGTCCACAGTCACAACGGATTTATCAGTATTTGAGAGTCCGTATTTATATGGGCAAGGAACCAATATTGTAACCCATTACCACCATTCCCAACAATAACATGCAGCTTTTCTTAAGACTTAGTCCACCAACAACAAATGTTTGGCTTTCCCTCACAAGTGAATAAAAATGGAACCACCCAAACTTTGTCTATTAGCTTTGGTGACCGTCCCCAAATTGACATTGTGAATCTCGTTCTATATTTTCAGATAAATTATGTTATAAAATATCTTTAGTAAAACATTTCGTAAGAACATCAGACATGGCCAGACTTAATCTGAATACTGGATGCAAAAGGAAGCCCGAAGCTCTGCGAAACAGAAAGAGCAGAGAGCGTACATGAAACATACCCAAGTAAAACTACCTCTCCCCTCCCTACTTAGGATTGGCCCCCAATTTCACCCAACCTTAGCAATCTGAAACTTTCCATCAACACCAAACAAGATGCGACTGCCATCCGCTCTCCTCTTTAGGCCACCACCAAAAAATTTAAAATGTCAAAGACTTAACGCGTGCACTCTCAAGGGACACCCACCAACTCCAGCTCGCAGCGGTATCCACCCGCGCCCTCTCGGCCATGTCCGCCCCCAGCCAAGCTCCTCGCACCGGCGGACTCGAACCCAGCGCGCTCGCAGCACATTCCCTCCCAGCCATCGCCCGGGCAGCTCCCGCCCCCCCA